ATTTTCTTAACCTCAGGCATTACATAGCTCTTTTCACCTTTTTGCTTTAGGCTGGTTTTCTTTAGGTTGTAAAACAAGATCTTTTTTTTTTTTTTCAATACATAAAAGCTCTTGCATATATAGTTTGGACAAGGGTGTCACCTGCTATTTACATTTATGTATTAACCATTATAACCAATAACCTCTTTTTTTTTTCATTTCATAAAGGGTATTGTCAGCTGTTAACCACACCATTTGCTCCAGAATACACTGTGTATTGATATTCGTGTATTTCAAATTTCACTTTGGAAGTAGATAACTATAGCCAGGTCTTTGTCTTTTCATTCTCTCTCTCTCTCTCTCTCTCTCTCTCTCTCTCTCTCTCTCGCTCTCTCTCACTCTTGCTCTCTCTCTGTCTAATATCTTGTGCTGGTTCTAACATGGACTGCAAAGTAGCATTAATGAAGGAACAAAAGTTAGATGATAACCAACTAAATAAATTATTTAAGGTGTCCTATGGCCATTAAACTGGCTCCAAAAGCTCAGCCCATTTTATTTATTTTATTTTATTGTTTGTAAAGTTGTCCTTATCAAGTTGAAAGCACTTTGGATGTTGTCAGAAACTTGTGCACAGGAGTCTTTTTTCTATGAGCTCTTGGTATTGCCTGAATCTTTTAGAGCTGATACAAATCACAACTTTGATTATTAAAAATTCCCCTCCTTTCTGAGAATTTCCTAAAGACATTGAAGATTAACTAGTCCATGGTTTGGTATTTATTGTCCCTCATGGCCAGAACGAACTTGTCACACTCACTGGCATGATGTGGTCCTCGTGAGAAATGAGAACCATTTAGAAGTCAATGTAAGAAAAAAAGTATTTTAGCAAGTTTCAAGGAACAGAGAGATTTAGAAGCAGGGGCTCTCTCCCCTGGAGCTCTGGACTTGCCTCAGCTCCCTCGTCTTAGTGATCCCCACTGATGCCCACTTGACCTGACACTTTGGGAGAAAACACTTGTGTGTCTTTATTCTTTAAGATAAAGCCTGTATCAATATAATGACATTGGGACCTTCAGACAGGTTAGAAATGGCATACTTTCACCCTGGACAAAGGGTGGAACTCAAAGCCCATCTTCAGTCGTCAACCAGAGTCTCACAGCTTCAGGTCCAGGCTGTACTAACTTCTGATTGTGGGAAAGGCCCATTTCCAATGACACCCAAGCCTGGCAATATTTATGTAGCTACTTAACAGTTAGTTGTTAGCCTAAAGCTACCAAATCTCATTGCTACATTTAATCCTGTTTCCTTCATAGAAAATGGCTAAGACTAAAAAATGTCAAATATAAAACAAAGTCAATAGTAACTAACGGAATTCAGATTACATGACAACTGAAACCAAGACACATGATTTTATCCTACGTTGACACCGGTGTCTCTTTGGTATCTGTTTGGCCTCCAATACTCAGGAGGAAGACATTAGGTAACTAGAGCATCTGTTAAAACTGTTTTAAGTTCTATTTTTTTAAAGTATTTTATAAGGCTTTTCTAAAAAAAAAAAACCATGTTTACATTTTACCCATATCTTTACTTGGTTCTGTATATCTCTTTCCTATATTAGGGCCACAGTTATCTTCAAGGAGAAAAATAAAATCTCTTCTTGACTAGAAATTTTGGCAGGCTTGCCGAAGACCTACTTTGGCAAGACGTCCCTCACCCGGGGCAGGATAAGAAGCAGAATGTCTTCTCTGGTGAGACCAGCTTTTGGATATGACTTAGCTGAATTTGTTATATTTAAAGCTGATTTATAATCCACCTCTATGAGCTGACTTTTTTTTAAAGTTTATTTGTCTTTATTTGATTTTTAAGCGTTTAAAACAATATCATAAAATGATTATCCATTTTTTTGTCTACATACATGTGTTCCTCTTTTCTAGCAAATGATAGTCAATTAAAGAGGATCATTTCATTTTTATGCTATTATAATAGTTTTAAATCTATAGAAGTTTAGCAGGTTGTGGTGAGTCATAGTTGTAATCACTACACTCAATTTTTTTCCATTAAAAGGGTCATGTTATCTAATGAACATGCCAACCACCTTACAAATATACATAGAAAACCTTCTAAAAATAACAAGCCTCCATTCTCTTAAATTTGTCCATTATTGGATTGGACCTCTCCTTCAATGATGGAATATATTCTAATTATGTCTAATTGCAATAAATTTGTCCCTCTGGTCCCCTTTTATCTACTATTTAGTTACTGTATTGGTAGACCAAGAACTTTCTGGGCCTCAGCATCTTGTGATAATACAAAGAGAAACACAGGAGGGTTCTGTTGGATCTGCCATCCCAGACTCCTCACTGTTACAGGTTGGCATGACTAACTAGCATTTCAGCCTAAATCAATCTTGATGCTATCTCTATTGAATCTAGAATGAATAGTTATTTAAAATATGTAGTATGAAAATCCCAGTGGCTCATATGGTATATAATCACGTATAAGTGGATATTAGCTATAAAATATAGGATAAACATACTAAAATCTATACTCCTAAAGAAGCTAAACAACAAGGAGGACCCTAGGGAAAATACTTAATCCTCACTCCAAAGGGCAAACAGGATAGACAGCAAAGGTAGGAGAAGACAAAGAATAGGACAGCAGCCTACCACAGAGGACCTCTGAAAGACTCTACCCACCAAGGTATCAAAGGAGATACTGAGACTCATATCCAAACTTTAGGCAGAGTGCCAAAATCCTTATGGAAGAAGAGAGAGATAGGAATATCTGGAGGGGACAGGAACTCCACAAGGAGAACAACAGAGCCAAAATACCTGGGCCCAGGGGGGTCTGCAGAAACCGATACTCCAACCAAGGACCATGCATGGAGAGGACCTAGAACTCCTGTTCAAAGAAAACCCATTGGCAGCTCAGTTTCCAAGTGGGTTTCCTAGTAAGGGGTACAAGGACTGTCTCTGATATGAACTCAAAGGCTGGCTCTTTGATCAGTTTCCCCAGGGGTAGGGGGTGCAGCCTTGCCAGGCCATAGAGGAAGATGATGCAGCCAGCCTTGATGAGACATGATAAGTGAGGGTAGCATAGAAGGGGAGGAGGTCCTCCCCTATCAGGAGACTAGGGAAAGAGCATAGGGGGAGAAGAGGAAGGGTGAGTGGGACTGGTAGGAGATGAGGGAGGGGGCTGCAGCGGGGATCCAGAGTGAATACATTGTAATAGATAGATAGATAGATAGATAGATAGATAGATAGATAGATAGATAGATAAGAAAATCCCAGTGCTTGAGACTTAAGCCAGTATAGATTGCTTTGATTTGTTGTTGTTGTGTGGGTGGCTGTTGGACCCTCTATCTCAGCTTTCTCTGTGAGAAGCTATCAAAGGATATTTCACCAGAGAGAGAGAGATGCTAGATGATTTTATTAGTCTTCTAAATCTTACATTACATCATCTGTGAAAAAAAAAAAGAAAAAGAGCTCAAACCTCCTACAGATGACACCATTTTGAAGTCATATGACCCAGGTGGCTCAGACAGACCTGAATTAGTTGTCACCTTGCCCTGCTTGTGTCCAGTGTTCTTTGGTTCCAGTTCTTAACTCAATATGAGAGGCAACAGATGCCCATTCCCGTGATCTGACATGCTGTTCCCCACCATGTTGGATTATGTCCTCTGAAACTGCGAATCATTAAATCTCTTCTCCCTTAGGTTGCTTCTGTCATGTGTCCTGCTACAGCAAGAAGAAAAGCAACTAACATAGAAGACTGATGCTGAACAGAGGAGTTGTTGCTGTGAGCAACAACATAACATGGTTTGTCAAGGCTCTGATATACGTTTGGACTCTGGAGGTGTGTGCAGCAGTGAGACAGAGGGACCCTTTGGAAATCCTCCAGTCTACCCAGCATGTGCCTTCTCCTAAAAGAGTACAATGATGAGAAACTTGACCCCATAAGATTCTTTACGAATGTGGGTCAATGACGGTAGATCTAACAAGTAATCATTAACTTAAGGTTAGCAAATCATAAATCATACCTATAAGTCTGTGAATTCTATTTGCAATAAGTTCTATGAGATATAAATATTCAGGTCAGAATGTCAGTATTTGATTACAGAATGTTGAGGATTTTGGTTGAACATCAGTAAGATGTATTGTTGTATATTTCCTAAAAAGTACATTTGTTGGGAGCCGTGACTCCAGCGGCCTGCTTTGATGTTTAAATCTCGGCAGAGAGATGGCTTTTAGCAGGCCTTTACTAATGGCAGAGAACTCGCAAGTCCATCTCCTTTTGTTTGTGACAGCAGATAGGATAGCTTGTGAGGGTCACACCTCTTCCTCAGGCTCCTTGTGGAAATTAACCCATTGTTCTGAGATGTTTTACTGGCTAAAAGAAACTCCTCACAAATAAAGAGGTCAGAGGGAGGAAGAGGAGGAAGCAGAGACTTGAAGCAGAGACTTAAGACTTGAGACTTGCTGCTGGAAGCAGAGGAGGAAGCAGAGACTTGAGACTTGCTGCTTGTGCTGCTTGCTGCGGCAGCCTGCCTTTTGCTGTGGCTGTCGAGTCTGGACCTTTAAAAAGTTTCCTGTGTGCTGTGTGTTTATTTTATTAATATCAATCCTCACTCCTGACTCAAGAGCCGTTCAACTCTGCTGGCTGGCTCCGGCATACATCCAACAAAATAGCATCACAACAGCCATGCAAGCTTAATATAAGTTTAATGATTTCTTTGTGATTTTGCTGTCATTGACCAGAATCTTTATGTCTTAAAATTAAAGGCTGAAGAATTTAAAATTCAAGAGTTATTGTGTGAAATTAATTCATAGTCAATATTAGGAATACATGGGGGAATCTTGAAAAGGAGACATCAGGCAAAAAAACAAAACAAAACAAAAAAACAAAAACAAAAACAAAAACAAAAAAAAACCAAATCATAACCCTACATAATTGTGATCATATTGATTATTTTTAATTACTTGTAGTTAAGGTAGTTGTCCACTATTTGCTAAAAATTTAATGTTTTATGTAGATGTTCCCAAAAATGCTTCAAGAAATTTTAGTAATAGTTTCCTTGAAAGTTTTGTACTCATGATAGCTTCCCATGCCTTCAAAGATGATGATCCTAGAAAAGATTTTTAAAAAATGAGTGCATGTCAACTGATGAAAATATTTCTTATGTCTACTAGGCAATAACCATTGATTAAATGATCAACTTCATTTGCTTTCTATCAATAACATTAAAATAATCAGTTTACAAAGAAAATGTGACTCCCTGATAGTATTATCATTTTGCAAGACCTAACCTGAAAGTTTTGTGTTATGTTTTCTAAGTAGCAGAATCATGAATGATGTAGAAAAGCAAACATGAAAAGCTCTTACAATTGTCAGTCATAGCTTGTAACAACAATTGCCATAACCATAATAAATTCACTAAATAAAATATTGCATGTTTATAAGAAAATGAGATAATTCTAATATAAAGCTTCCAAATATCTGCCAACTGAAGGTTGTTCTACCTTCATTGTGTGAGAGAAAGCTGCCTGTTCACTGGTGATATTACACTACAACCAAGACAGATGTAGGAAGAAACATCAGTAAAGGTGCACTAATGTATTTGGTGGATCTGATATTTTATTGCAAAACTTTGTACATAAATTGAGCATAAATCACTCATATCTAGTTTGTTTAATTTATAATTTAGAGAATCAAAAATTTTCCATTTTTTAACTTTCCATTTATAAAATAGTAATGGCATATATGTTTATCTCAAGGTCCCATTGCTCAAGTGTAAAATGAGGATATCACAGTAACTTCCAAACACTTAGTTAAGTGTTTGGAAGCCTGTTTTTCACTCTGCTTTTGCCATTATGGAGCAAAGGTCTTCTTCTTTTTAGTTAGAAGTATTAGATTAAAAGCATCTGATGAGTCAAGTGAACAGTGATTTCATTAATGATGGCATTTTTTTCATTTGAAATTCATTTGTCTTCTTTAGACTTAAAAGTAAAATAGAAGGAACACAAAACCAAAAGTTTACATGGGAGAAATAATATGTGATTATGTGGGTTTATGTTATGTATTTTACTTCATATGGCAGATGTCAAGGTTCAATGTGGCACCCAAATGAAGGGATAGGTCATAAATAACAAAAATGTGGTTGATCAATGGTCTTACCATCTATTAAGAGTAATCACTTACCATCTATTAAGAGTAATTTTGTATTTTGTAAGCAAATACAAAATATATCCATAGGAACTCATACATTTTTTAAATTTATGCTGGTGTGATGATCTCTACTGAACTTAGTTTATGCTTTCTTCCAATCTATAGAGTTATGATTTTCTTCCAGTAATCTTTTAAAAATTTTACCTGTAAGTCTATCAAGGTCACCAAGCTCGTTAAGCATCAGCAGGACTTTGTTCTGAAGAGGAGTGAAGTCAGAAATAAAAGGGGCTATGTCAGTATAAAGAAGTATATGTGGCGGCAGACCCTTCTGTAAGCCATGTGATCTTCTCAGGGTTGTAGGAAGACGGGCTGCAGCTAAATAGTTTACAGCAATAGCCCAGTTTTTCTGAAAATTCACTTCTTGGTCAGGGTAATAGTCATATCTAAAAGACAAATAGACAAAAAATCAATTACAATTTACTTTCTCAGAATTTAAATCTCACTCTGCAGATATCATCCTCTACCAACAAATAAAATCCAAATATTGTTTTAAAACGACATATGATAATGCTGTGAATTTGGCTTGTCTTCCAGCAATTGTATAGATGATTAAATAAAATTTAAATCTGTATAGAGGGTTATCCATTTAGCCACCTCTTTTTAATATTTTACTTTCCATTTCTGTCATTCCTTAGGCACACTGGAATAAACATGTTAAGAACATGTTTAATAATACAGTCTGGCTATGCAACAAATATGAACAAGGTCTAATGTCACATGATTGCAATTCACAATTGGTATACAAAGCAGGAAGATTGGGAGGCCAAAATCTTCCGAAGTTGTCAGTTAGTTAGATAATTAATTAATTAATTAATAGATGAAATAAACAGAAAAAGAAAGAAAGCAATGCATTATGCTTGTTAGTGTTTGCTATTTTTGAGTTAGGAGACAAACGTCCCAAAAGTTATTTCCATAGCCTGAATTCCTTAACTTGTATCTGACTTACATTTGTGAGAAAAAAAAATTTTTTTTTAAAGAGAAAAAAATGACTCTAAAGAGACATAAGGAATATTCTGGAAAGGGTGATAGAATGCCATGCATTTTGTTTTAGGTGGCAGTTTCACAAGTGCTACCGGTTGCCAGCACTCATTCAACTGAATAAGTACACAAATCTGGGTCCTTTATTACAGGTCAATTATACCTTAGTTTACAACATGTAAACATTGATTTGGTTCCTAAGGTAAGCCTTGATTTGATATAAACACAAGGGTCTTTGTCTTCTCAAATAGAAAAACATATATATATATATATATATATATATATATATATATATGTACATATATATATCCAACTGACCTTGAGACTTACAGCAAGCAGGTATTGACTTCACTTTGAACAAGGGACTGAAAAACGTTTTCTGGGACAGCTGAGTTCAAGTGGAAGGATAAAGTGTTGGCCATACACTGTCAATAGTTAACAGTTGCTTAGCCAGTAAGACTGAAGATTTCCTCAGACTCTAAGGCTTAGAGGCATGTCCACGGTACAAAACCTCCACAAGCACTCTGGCTTTCTAAGTGCTCATCTTTAAGTGTAAGAGACCACCAAGTTAACCAGATAGCGTGGGGAGCCACCAAGACACAATAGACACCAGAACAGAGGGTCAAGCACAAACCAAACCAAAATGAAGAACGGTTATGCTAAGAGGATTCGTACTGGAGAGAAGTCAAAAGCAAAAGTTAAAAACTAAAAAAAGTAGAGGGAAATGACCGAGATTATACAAATTACTCCTCACATTCACATACTCAACTAAATCCTCAGGCAACAAGGATAAAATCGGACGCTGTCTCAAACATTTCCACCTACTCTCCACCCATCCTCAGCTGACCAGAACCTGGGCCCTAGCAGGCAAATCACGCCTAGAGAGAAAAAGGTGAAAAATGAAGTGCCTCACAGAAGAGAGGCAGGCAGAGTCCTGAGACATGAGAGCAGGCCCACCACCCGGATAGCTATTCCAAAGCAGACCTCATGACAAGGATGTTTATGGACAGAATCTGTGATGCTTTGGCCAAGTTTAGAAGGTTCTTTTAACTTGTCTGTTCAGTTCAGTGACCAGCAGCAATGTTTCTGACTTGAAATATTAAGAAGTAAAAAAAAAAAAAAATCACAGATGAGGATAAATTCAAAGGAGAAGAAGAGAAGAAGATACTGAGGGAAATGTATCAAGGCTGAAGTTGTTCAAACAGGAATCCCAAACTAGTGGAGCCCTGAGAAATACTTTCCTCAGGAGTCTCCTGCTGAAGGAGAAAACCTGTAAATAAAACTCTGGCCAAACAGGACAAACTCCCCTGGCGGGAAGATAATCCATGGCTTTCGAAAATGTATCGATCTCTCATGCAAGCTGTGCGTTTCCTGACTTCCCTTCATTGATTCTACAAGCTGCAAAAACAGCTGCAGGAGAAGTGAAAGAAACTGGGAGACTTCCAACCCCTCCCTGCTTTGCCAAAGTATACATAAATTTGTTTTCTCTATCACAGCCGTCTCCTACTTCCTTTTGATACGTGGGAAAACTAAGGTGGCAGGTTTGGCAGATCTAAGTACCCGGCAACAATGTTAGTAGCGATTTCAACCACAAAAAAAAAAAAAAAAAAAAAAAAAAAAAGTAAACTCTAAAAATCAACCCAAAGAGCAGCACTGAACAACCCTATCCAGAGAGCCCTGGCTACACATGGTGTAAGGATTCCATAAGCCAAACCATGTCTTCCTAGGGTGAGCTTTCAAAGGCTGATAGTCCAAACTGTAAATAATACAGAAAGCGTTATCTCAGTTTGTTTGATAAAACAGCAATGGCAGGGCTTGGCCGCAGAAGACTGTAACCTCAGCTATTTCAGAGGCAGAAGCAGGAGGATGACACCATCAGGTCCACACCAATAGGGGCCGACCTGAAGACCAGCCAGGCTGGGTAGCAAGACACTATCTCAAGACAAAATGTTAAAAAGAGAGCATGGGATGGAGTTACAGCTCCCTGGTAGGGCTTGCCAGGGATGCATGAGGCCCTGAGTTGGTTCAATCACAAGCACCATTAGAACAACAAACAAACCATCAGCAACAAAGAACCCAGAATTTTTAAGGAAAGATGAGAAGAAGGAAAGGGGGAGGGATAGTAGAAAAAAAAGCAATCTAATCTCAAATAGCCACACATTGCTTGGTTTTAAGTTCTTCCTCTTCTTATATAACAATAGCCTTTCAGGCTATGCCTTGCCTCAGGTGATTTTATTTTTCAAAGCAGGAGTTTGTTTCACTCTGAGTACAAATTTGAGGCAGAATAAATCTATATCCCATCGGTAAAAACAAACAAATCACGTCTGACCAGCACCAATCATGAGGCTCAGACTGATAGTAGCTGGTTATGCATAAAACATCACCACTTACAAACAAACCAACTTAGGTGAAGAACACGTGGATCCATGGGCATCTTAAGGCCATGTCAGAAACACTAGGCATATAAAACTATTAAGCACATCACACCACCAAATGATGAAACAAACTCACACCAGGATCATATATGAGGAAGGAGCACTTCTCATGGAGCATTGCGATACCACTGATGCCACATGAATTATGGGATTTACATGTTCTAAACTATTGACTGGCCATGATTTCAGTTCGGCAAGGTACCTGCTGCTTGAAATGTCCCACTCGAGTGACCAGATTGGCTCTGCTCCTCACCCTGAGTCCCCCCTCAGCTTTGAACCGCTCTCCCCTTGAGGAAGACTGTTTTCCCACCTCAAGCTGAGCTTTCCTCATTTTAAAACCTTAGACCTACCTGGAGAGGCACAGAGGCCTTGCTTGCATTTGGCTACTTTTTAATATATCTGATATGGAAAAAGATATAAAACAGAGCTTTTTGCTCGGTTTAGTGGCTGCAGCTGTTGTTAATATCTCCTAAAGATAGTTTCCTCGTTAAAGGAAGTGAACCCACAGTTTATATTCTGTTCCATTCAATTATATATTGTAGTAGTTCAAGCATATTTGTAGTATCAAGACAACTTTCACAAATGTGAGAAAGCCCTTGAGTAGAATTGATCTTTTAAACCCAGTTTGTAAGCCCCATCACTAAGGGCAGCAGAGCCTGCGGGGAAGAGGATGTGCTGGGGTGGCAGGATGTGGAGGTGACAACTGAACAGACAAGACCCCGATGCAGTACCAGTAAAATGGAATAAAGTTGAAATTATGTTATTGACAAACTTAGTGCTGTCTTTTACTATTTTTTAATTAAATTTTTATTTTTTATATTAATTACAGTTTATTCACTTTGCATCCCAACTGCAGCCTCCTCTCTCTTTCCCTCCCAATTCCACCCTTCCTCTTTCATCTCCTCCCATGCCCCTCTCCCCTCTGATAGGGGAGGAGGCTCCCCTTCCATCTGACCCTAGCCTATCAGGTCTCATCAGGACTGTCTGCATTGTCTTTTTCCCCCCTCGGTGGGGGGTTACTATTTTTATTATTAAAGAGTACTCATATATTATTTTATTTAATGTATGATAACATTTTGATAGTTGTCTTTAAGATTTATTACCACTATAGGGAAGATCAAGGGAAAAAAACTTCCTGAAGTTCAGGAAGTAGATTGCAATAATCAAAACAATGTTTTGCTCTAATTAGTCAAGGTAGAATTCTGAGAATTACATAATTTAATAACCCAATACTTCAAGATGTTCAATTTTAGAATAGCTTTTAAATAAGTTTGATCAGTTCTAAATACAAATAATTTGGATATATAAAAACCATAAGAGAAAGTAAATATATCTAAAAAGAAAAACTTCTATAATCACTATAAAATTTAAATGTTTTAAATATCCATGATTATTGTGTTTAGAGTTGTATTGTTCTGGGGCCTGGGGAGATGGTTCAGTGGTTAAGAGCAAAGGCTGCTCTCCCAGAGAAACCAGATTTGATTCCCAGAGAACCTGGATTTGACTTCTAGAACCCACTTGGTGACTCAAAACCATCTGTCCAGTCCCAGGATTACCAGTGTCCTTATCTGCACTCCATGGGTAGCAGATATGTAAGTGGTTCTCAGAAGCATACATGCAGGCAAGACACACATACAAATAAAAATAAAATGTAGACGGTTTTACTCTCCTATTGATTGTTGATTTATTTTTATACAAATATAAACATTCTCTAAATGTGGGAAAGTAGCCTATAACAAATAAGGTAACCTGGCCGTCACTATTCGAAAGGCAATATAATCCCCTTTTCTACGACTTTGTGTGTGTGTGTGTGTGTGTGTGTGTGTGTGTGTGTGCGCGCGCGCGCGCGCGCGCGCATGCCTGTGTAGAGGAGTGTTCACGTATGTGGAGGCTATCCATAGTAGAACAACAGGTGTGGTCCATCTTTGTTTTTCCTTTGAAAGGGGGTCTCCTAATGGCTCACACTCACCACAAAAACTAGGCTGGCCAGTGAGTCCCAGGGATCCATTGGTTTTTACCTCCTCAGCATGAATATAACAACTATATGCCATGATGCTTGGCTTTTTTTTTTTTTTAACATGAGTTATCACCTTTGGGACCAGCAGCGCAGTTTGGTGGAGGATCTAAAGCGATGTCTGCCAGCTCCTCTCCAACAGAAGTTCCTCCACCAAACTGCAGTGCTGGTCCCAAAGGTGATAATATCTATGAGTGGAGATAAACCATTCTGGGCCTCCAGGATCTGTGTATGAAGGTGGTGTATTCTTCCTTGATACCACTTTTACACCAGAATATCCCTTCAAGCCTCCAAAGGTTACGTTTCGTACAAGAATTTATCACTATAATATTAATAGCCAAGGAGTTATTTGCTTGGACATATTGAAAGACAACTGGAGCCCAGCACTAACCATCTCAAAAGTCCTCCTCTCTATCTGTATTGCCACTATGCCACTACGTATATGACCAACAGAGCAGAACACGACAGAATGGCCAGACAGTGGACCAAGAGATATGCCACATAGACTGGGTTTTCACAGTTCTTACATTATTTGTCTGTCACAAAAGAGAGCTGCTTATGATTATGAAAGGGCAGGGGTGGGAGTTGGTAAAGAGTAGGGTGTTTCTATAACAGATATTGTTCAGTCTTACTTCAGGATTTTGTTGTAACTTAAGGTATCTTGCTACAGTAGACAAACTGGTAATAGCCACTTCTAGAACTGTCAGTTTGCAAGCCTAGCTGACTTTTAGTACAACAGGAAAGAATGTGTGTGTAGACACTTGGGTTCCATTGATTATAGTCTACTGTAATTTCCAAATCAGCTTAAATTTGTATAGGTCATACACACGGCCATTTATGTAAAAGTCCTATTTTCTTGTTTGAAAAAAAATTGGAATTTCTTTTCCTTCTTAGAAGGAAACGATGGTATTTAAGAGTCTGCAAAGATTGTTACCTCGTATATATAAAATGAACACTTGGCTACAAGACACAAAGTAGGAAATGAGTAGTTATTGTATTTTATTTTATATGCAAATTACCTTAAGGGTTGATTTGTGAAACCTGTAGTGAAATACCTTAAGCTGTGAACTGTAAGTGTGGAATAGGAACCGCGCAGTGGATTGGTTGTTCTAGACTTCTTATGTCTGCATTTGTTACTGTGCTAATAAACAACATCAAGAACAAACAAACAACAACAAAAAAAAAGAATTGTGTCCTTCAGACTGGCCAGTGGATTATTTTCATGGTTGCCAATTGATGCCCGTGAACCCAACCCACTCACGGTAGACAGTGCTGTCCCTCAGCAGGTGGCTTTGAGCTGTACAAGAAAGCTCAACAGAAGCAGGACAGCCAGCTCAGCAGGGTTCTTCCATGGCCTCTGCTCTGGTTCCTGTCTCCAGGCTCTTGTTTGAGCTCCCGCCCTGGCTTCCCTTAAAAACGGACTAGAACTTGTGATCTGAAATAGAAGCTTCCTTTCCTAGGTTGCTTTTGGTCATGGTTATTGTTAAAGCAGGGGAAAGCTCAAAGTAAAACAGAGACAAAAATATTTCTTACCTGTCTACAAAGGTACTGAGGGAAGAGTCCAAGGATGAGGTGTGGGCAGCCCATAAGTGCTCCAAGAGGCCGTCAAAGTCACTGGAAGGCGTCTGCATGTACTGAAGCACAGAGGGCAAAGGGTTATGTGGGCAACTCTCCCTCACGTTCTACCCAACTCGAAGAAATGAGCAATAGTCGTTATGAACATGCCATTCCTCAGTGCTTAACAGCCAAGCGAAACATATGTAGTGTTTTTCATCCAATTGAAACGAGCTTCAAACATCTGCAGAGTCTGTGTTTTCTACTCCACACAACCAGTGTCATTTTTTTTTCTGCCAACATGACTAAAACTCTTGTAAAATCTTCAAAGTGATAAGAAAGGATAGGAAAATTAAAGTAAATTATATCTACAAGCAATGAATTAACCACCTAAAAACCGGTAACTATATATTTAAATCACTATCTTTTCGCTTCCTCCATGCTTGACCAATGTGTTTTGTTTTGGCCGTCAAATGGTTAGTTCAGAACAACATATAACTGCTTAGCACTATCTACGGTGAGTGGTTATTAATTCAATTTCAATAATCTAAAACTGTATCCCCAATTCTTATAATATTTCACAAATGGCCTAAAGTCCCAATTATTCACCTGCCTATTTGCCTTCTATTAAAATAGCTTGCATTTAGATAACATTTGTGGGTTTTTTTTTTTAACTTGCAGTGGCAACAGGTAAGTTTTGTGTTAGTATTGTATGGGATCAGTGGGCTTCTACGACACGTGCTATATTTCCACATCATTTATGAGAGAAAATATCTACTTTCAATTTACATTTTAAAATTAGGAAAAGCATACCACACACTGAACACACAAAAACAATCTTTCACCAAAGACTTTGACAAGAAAACAAAGCATTCTCTCCGTGTGTCTGAGGAGTGAGTGTGATATAAAAGTTAAAGGAAGAACCTGAAAAAAGGCGTTCCAGCTGTCCATTGTTTCAGGGAAGGCAGATCGGCAGCCAGAGACAGTGTAACAAAACCTCCTCTGATCACTGGGTGGAGGCAAGATCACGATTTGGTCTGACGATATCCCCAGTATCCCAGAACCAACAGCAGCAAGGAAAGGTATCACACTCAGATAATAATTTATATCTGTCAAAACAAAAGGCTGGTTAGAACCCCAGCCAATGACAAATAATAGCACATATTGAGGAAGCACAAGTCATTAAGGAAAATTCACAGATGCCAAAATTCTCGACTAAAAATTACTGAGGAAAATCAGCTTATATTTTAATAGTCTTATAATCATGGGTATATATACACACACTGAAGTGGCATATTACATTTTTAAGAAAAGTAATTTTAATGAATTGTATAACAATCCTATTTCAAAGCATTAATAAATAAGGAAAACCTGTTAAATGGTTCACAGAGGGGTACAAAAATTCTCAATGAGATTGCATTGCTGATTTTAAATTTTTCTAAAATAATCAAGCATAATTATAAATTTGGAAAATGCATATTTTATGCCTTACAACTTAGTCCAATTTTTATATACAATATCACTAAGTCTTTTTATCCCATTTTTCTAAAGCAAGAAGTTTTGACTGGCAGCCTGATAGGCTTCTTAGGTCTTCAAACTTTCCAGATACGGAAAAGCAAGCCCAGCAGATTTAAGAATTTTAATTTAGTTAGGTAATTGGCTTACCCTGAGTCTTAACAATCCAAATTATGAAGCCAGTCAGACTAAACCATAATCCTATTGCAGTTGACAAGTCTGTTTGTGAGTTTTGAAAAGAATAACTCAGTTAGTTCAAGGGAGGTACCCACTGGTTCGCACTATTTTTGAGTCACTCCAAAAAAAAAAAAAAGAAAGAAAGAAAAATGTAATGCAATTTCATGTATAATGATTGTCAAATTATTCTGATAAACATATATGTAAATTAATTTTAAACCAAAACACACCATGGAAGAATTAGAAAATATATTCAAATTGTTTAATATTGCATATATAACATTACTCTGGCCTGCTTGTGAGTTCTAGCGTTTAGCACATTTGTTCTGAGCAGAAAGGAAAAGCGTTATTATCTTGGTCTCACTTTTCAAAGAGTCCATGTTTCTTTGGGAACCTGCCATGTTGCTGACAGTGCTTGTCTCTAGAGGCCTTTGATTCATTACTTGATTCATTCCTTCTCTGAAAAGTCTAATTACATCCTTTAAAATTGTTGTATTCCATTTGATTGGCCAATTCTGCCATATGTCATCAAGGACATTGATATATGATAAAATAGATTCGTCTTGAAATCTCTGTCTTGTCTCTGTCTCTTAGATTGGGGTTAAATGTATTCTTTGAAGCAAATGTAAGATTTTGCTGTTTAAGTGAACCTACCAGCCCACCAACTGTCCACAGAGACACACAGATGGTCTGCAAGTTCATAGCTACAGTCTATCATCCCGGTGGGGTCAGCTAGTCTACCTAGAGGACAGAGAAGCCACAGTTATATTTATTATCATGAACATTTAAAATTGTTAAAATACATGCACTTAATTTATAGGTACAACATTTTCCAAATGGCTTATATTTTATTTGCCATCATTTAAAAATTTTTATTTCTCATTTCTCAATCACATCATTTTCTATTCTTCAGCCATATTGAACATTTGACTGTTGGTTTATACGCTATAGATAATTTTACTCATATAACTACACATGTTACTGTCTTCTCTAGATACTAATAAAAATCGTGGAAGCAACAGTCACACATAGAGAAAAAAGGTAGGCTAAGAGTCAAAACAAACCTTTGGTCTACATTTTCTAAATTATATGACCACAGGTGCCTCAGTTTACATCATTTGTAAAGTGGAGATAGCAATAATCAGTATACATGAGACTTCTATATGAGTTAAGCGAAATTATCAGAAGTATTTTACATGTCAGCATTACATAAGCATTAGAACACTAGAAAATACGCTTTCTTTTTATCCAAAACTGACACTACTTTCCTTCTCCCTTCTCCTTTCCTCCTCCATTTTCTTACTTGCTTGAGCAATGAATAAGCTGTGTAGGCGCCATTCTTCTCTTGCATTTCTTCTGTCAGCCAGAAGAAACTATCTTTTATATATATATATATATATATGAGCATGTTGCCCCCAAACATCTTCTATGTACATACAGTGGAAAGAGCTTGGTTTCCAAGAAGAAGCAACCATTGGCACAGATCACCATTAGCAAGAAACTACTCATTTGTAATTTCATGCTTACAGTCAGGCAATTACATTAGGACTCTCAAGAAGGTCAATATACTCTGACATCACCTCCCGTTTCTAATGAACACCCTCTTGTCTGTTCAAAGGAACAAGAAGGAATATGTAGTTAGCAGTGGTGGAGTAACTATTTTGAAAATACTCAACACATTAGAGAAAGGATGTGTGTCTTTATGGATAGTCTCCATGCCTGTGTGTCATTGAAGTGCCTGGTTGAAAGAACCAACCTACAGGGGAAGGATTTATGGATAAGGACAAATAGGAATAGAAGAAGCAGTGATTGTAAGGAGATTAAAAAGTAAACAAAAATAATCAGTTGGAAAGAGACATCTGTGGGCATCTTACTTAGGGTTACTATGGGGGTGATGAAACACCATGATTAAAAGCAACTTGGAGAGGAAAGGGTTGAGCTTACTTATCCTAAATCACAGTCTATTGAAGAAAGGCAAATCAGACTAGAACCTGGAGGCAGGAGGTCGTGTAGAGGCCTTGGAGGAGTGCTGGATTGCTCTTCATTGCTTGCTTAGCCTGATTTCTTATAGAATCCAGGACCACCATTCCAGGGATGGTACCATTCAGAGTGAGCTGAGTCTGCTCACATCAATCACTAATTAAGAAAGTGACCTTCAGGCGTGTCTACAGTTTGACTAATAAAAGCATTTTCTCAGCGGGGGTCCCTCCTCTGAGATGGCTTCAGCCTGTGTCAAGTTGATATAAAGCTAGACAGCTGTGTAAGATATGGAGAATTCCTTCTTCCTGATACATCAAGATTATATTAGTACGGAGGAGAATAAGAATCTTTCTTACCTGTTTTATACTGCCAGCCAAACTGCAGAGGCAATCCCCACAAAAGATTTTGCTCATTTTCTGGAGCATACCTTGCAAAATACGGGGCTGTCTGTTTCAGTAAGATTCTGTACATCCCCATTCTTTCAGTGACTTCCCAAGGGTTCATTATGTGCTGTCCATCCTCTGACCTATAATCACTTAACTGTTCTGGGCTCTCTTCCCAGACAGCAGGATACAGAGCTGAGATACCAGAATCCTCTGCTACAGCTGCAGAAAAGCAGCCAGCCAGTACCCAGACCCAGGATGTCAGGACAGCCATGGTACTAACCTGGGAAGTGAGAGTGTGTCCAGGCTTTTATTGGAGAAGGAAGAAGGAAGCTGGAATATTTTTAGCTGATGCTTTATAAGCAAGTTGTAGGCAGAGTGTACAAGGAGAGGAAATTTATTCTTAGTGATTGGTATTAAACAATGCAGCCAGTCCTGATGAGAACTGATAGGCAAGGGTCAGAACGAAGGGGAGGAGGACCTCCCCTATGAGTGCACTTGGAGAGGGGCATGGGAGGAGATGAGGGAGTGAGTGTGGGATTGGGAGGGAATGAGGGCAATACAGTTGGGATGCAAAGTGAACAAACTATGATTTATTAAAAAAATAAATAATTTTAAAAAAAGAAATGGTGTAGGTATAAGGCTTTACCTAAATTTTCTTTACAGCATGTGTTGTCATTTGAGTTTTTCATCTTAGTCAACAGACTGGAAAAGGATTGTCACCAATCCTATATCTGACAGAAGGTTAACATCCAGAATATATAAAGAACTCAAGAAGTTAAAAAGCAACAAATCAAGTAATCCAATTAAAAAATGGGGTACAGAGCTAAACAGAGAATTTTCTGTAGAGAAATATTGAATGACAGAGAAACACTTAAAGAAATGCCCAACGTGCTTACTCATCAGGGAATTGCAAATCAAAAGTACCCTGAGATTTCACCTTACAGCCATCAGAATGTCTAAGATCAAAAACTCAAGTGACAACACATGCTGGAGAGGTTGTGGAGAAAGGGAAACCCTTCTCCATTGCTGGGAGGAATGTAAACTTGTACAACCACTTTGGAAATCAATCTGGCACTTTCTCAGACAATTAGGAATAGCGTTTCCTTAAGATCCAGCTATACCAGCTAGGCATATATGCAAATGATGCCCAAGTACACAACAAGGACATTTGCTCAACCATGTTTGTAGCAGCTTTATTCGTAATAGCCAGAAACTGGAAACAACCCAGGTGTCCCTCAAGGGAAGAATGGATACAGAAATTGTGGTACATTTATTTACACAATGGAATACTACTCAGCAATCAAAAACAAGGAAATCATGCAATTTGCAGGCAAATGGTGGGATCTAGAAAAGATCATCTTGAGTGAGGTATCCCAGAAGCAAAAAGACACACATGGTATATACTCACTTATAAGTGGATACTAGACCTAAAGTATGGGATAAACATACCAACATCTGTACACCTAAATAAGCTAAGCAAGAAGGAGGTCCCTGGGTAAAATGTTCAATCCTCATTCAGAAAGACAAACAGGATGGACACTGGAAGAAGGAGAACACAGGAAACAGGACAGGAACCTACCACAGAGAGCCTCTGAAAGACTCCACCCAAGAGTGTATCAAAGCAGATGCTGAGACTCATAACCAAACTTTGGGCAGAGTGCAGGAAATCTTATGAAAGAATGGGGAACTAGTAAGACCTAGAGAGGACAGGAACTCCACAAAGAGAGCAACAGAACCAAATATTCTGGGCCAAGGAGTGTTTTCTGAGATTGATACTCCAACCAAGGACCATTCATGGAGATAACCTAGAACCCCTATTCAGATATAGCCCATGGTAGCTCAGTCTACAAGTGGGTACCTCAGTAAGGGGAACAGGGACTGTCTCTGACATGAACTCAGTGGCTGGCTCTTTCATCACCTCCCCCTGACGGGGGAGCAGCCTTGCCAGGCCACAGAGGAGGACAATGCAGCCAGTCCTGATGAGACCTGATAGGCTAGGTTCAGATGGAAAGGAAGGAGGACCTTTGCTATCAATGGACTTGGAGAGGGGCATGGGAGGAGATGAGGGAAGAAGGGTAGGATTGGGAGGGAATGAGAGAGGGGGCTACAGCTGGGATACAAAGTGAATAAACTGTAATTAATATAAAAATGTAATAAAAAATAAAGAAACTGAGCTTCTCCTGCTTGGAGGCAAGTGAATCTCTGTAAGGGATGCCCCACCAGCTGAAATGAGGGTAGATGGACTTCGGCTCCAATGACATCTGCTCATGAAGGCCTATCTTTCCCAGGTATCCTAGTGTATCCTCAGTGCAAGTGACTACAGATCGATATCATAAAGGCACCTAGGATAACTTTTGAAATGAGGTTAAAATGTGAACTTTCAGAATTGCCTTTCCAGTAGCCTGAACCCCAGAGACAAGGCTGGGAGAACTCATTTTAGAGCTGAGTGTTGCTCCTGGAGCCACAACTTATTCCTCCAGCTACCCTGTAACACATGCACATCTTGGGCACTTAAGGGCAATAGCAGCTACAGAATTCTGGCGTATAAAACTAAGCCGCCCCTTCTCCTTTACCAAGAACAAAAGACTGGTGCATTCTGAGAAAAGATTGACAACATTGTTTTTTATTTAACTATAACCATGCTTATTTGATTAAATTTTTACTTTTGCAGCTCACAGGGCCTTACCCTCCAGTGACGTATCTCCAGGGACAATGCATATCATGGGTCCATTAATTGTCACAGTTATGTTATTCTTGTTCAGACCTTGTATTTCTAATCTCCTTGTAAAATTTGTAACTTCAATGTGATACAGAGACACCAGTATATTTTTTTTTATCCTATTGGGTTTTTTTGTTCGTTTTGAATTTTTTGCATTGTTGCTTTTATTTTTTTATTTTTTTTAAGAGAAAGAACATGAAGTTGGGTAGGTAGGGAAGTGGGAAGATCTGGTAGGAGTTAGGGGAGGGAAAATGTGACCAAAATACAGTTTATAAAAAAATATTTTAATGTAAAAAAAGAATGAAAGAAAAGAGCCCTGTCTAGAAAAAAAAAAAAAAAAGCAATCAATGGGCTACTGTCTATGAGAGGACACAGCCTTAAAGGGACTAAGATATAGTTCATTTTGGAGACAAATGTGAATGACCATGTTCTGGGTCTAGTTACCCCAAATATCATGTTTCTGTGTGGTAACCTGTTTCATGAAGGTTTTATAGGAAGTCCTAAATCAAGAGACTCTTAAAATACACTAATTTTGGCATAACACCAAGTACAGAAGTCCCTGCTGCATGTTTTAGATGTTTTCTGATGTCATTCTTGGCTATGGGTTTTTCGAGAGGTAGTGGTGTGTTAAGGTCATACATATCTAATAATGATTATCACCTGATAGTCACAGAGATGCTAGGATGTTAGAGGTGGGCAATGGGTCGCTCTTAAAGGCCACTTAAAGGATATCTTTAGCCCAGGAAAAAAATGACTCAGGATCTAGTCCATCTATCCACAATCACAGAGGTTTGAGTCAGTCATCAATTTAAGATCTTTTCATTAAAATATTGGTTTAATTTAAATATAATTACACCACTTCTCCCTTCCCTTTCCTCCCTCCAGAACCCTGTACCATACTCCACATATCGACTACCTTTCAGATTGATGACCTTTTTTCTTTGATTATTTTATTATTATTATTATTATTATTATTATTATTATTATTATACAGTGCAGAATATTTAATACAGGATTATTTTTTCTGCAAACTTTTTCCAGTTCAAACTTCTCATCAAATTAAAGCTACTATTTGTATGACGATTTTCTATTTCTTACTCAAGAGAAGCAGAATGCAGTAGAGAAGCAGAATACAGTAAAGCTTCCCCTTGGATTTTAGTTCATCGATATTGGTAATTTAGAAGAGAAATGAGATTGTGACATTCTCTGGCTCCTTTTGAGTTTCATTAGTCCTTCCTAACAAGGGATATTCTGTCCTGACTGGATGTTGCTTTGTCCAAATACTAGAGAGAGCTGGGGAGATAAGTCAGCGTGGTTAAGCAGACTGGCTACTTTTGCAGCGGATCCTGGTTCTATGTGTTTCTCAGGACCACACCTTCCAGCACCTCCTTTGTCAGAGTCCAGCAAGCTTACTACCTAGATATGCCCCCTTCTGAGCTCTCCATCCCCCATGCCCCCCCCCCAACCAGCTTCTGCAGCTCTCGCTGTCCTTCCTCCACTGTGTGAGGTGGCTGGACAGCTTTTCGTTAAACTGTTCATTCTCCCCATGGAGAATGTTTCCATTCTGTGTTCTATGTTTTCCTGCAGGACCTGCTTTCAGTCCCACACAGTAGGGCTCTTCTGTGTCAGGCTTTCACAGGTGTGAGTTGTCAAAGGACAGTGTCCTCGGGGTAACTTCTCATGGCCGGTTTCTGTCCCTCTCTTTGTATTCTTTCCACCATAAATTGGATAGCCTCCTCCACATACCCCCGCTGCCATGGTACTCTGGCTGGTGCTTTGGACTTCAGTTTTTGAGCATGTTAGTCAAACAAAACTTTTATTCCCTTCAGGTGTTCTGTCAGACTCTTGGTCACAGCTGCACAGAAGTAGCTTATCCCCTAACAAATGCATGTGAGCCAATGCTATGCCATAAGATGTTTTAAAAACCAAAGCACCCAGACCTGTGCTTCAGTTCAATAAAGAAAGAATAATCATGCAGAAATGTGGGGGGGATGTACAACGGAGCAGTGGTGACGAACTGGGGAGGAATTCACAAGGCCTCTTTACACATGTTTTTGTTGCACTCTCTGTGGCTTTCCTTTTTTTCCCATGCACAGCACACAGCACCCCCCCCCCCACTAGGTGGGAACCTTCTGACTTACATTCAGGTGAGATGGACCAGGTAATTCCTTCTTGGCCAGCTCTCACAGAGAAATGCTGGCCAGTCAATCTGAGTGACCTTTGCATCTGCAGCTCACACAAGATGCCACATTTACAACATGATGATGTTGTAAACCCTGACAGGACTGCCCAAGCAAAGTACCCCATTGTATTTTGTCACAAGGAACAATTGTAAGGCCTGGGGTAGTGTTCATGTGCTCATATCCTGCTCTGTCCCAAGAGGAGTGCTTCAGTTAAACACCTTATGCAACGTGCTCTGTCTTCTATCCCAATGCGTGCACAATGAGGTGAGCAGAGACAAGTGCTATTTAAATGTCATGAGAAAACATCTGTCACTGACCACACCGACATTGAAGTCTTATTTTGAGTGTCTTCAGTCCCCTGAGTAACAG